TGGTAATTAAGTCTCATTTCATGGTGATATCTTCAACTATTATTGGTGCCCTAAGACAACGACAGTTTAGCTACCTTCATGAACATATATGTGGACTAGTATATTAAAATGTGTTGTAAACTCATTTCTCCATCACACGCACATATATATATATATATATATATATATAAATACTCGTATAGAAGTATATATGATAACCACAAAGGATACCACTACCAAACCCAATAAAAGATAATTCTGAACTCTTTGCTTAAAACTGACAAATAACTTGGTAATTTTTTGGGTTACCAATTAAGTGGCTTTTGGTAAAACCGAACCCAAATGTTTCACCAAAAATATTATAGGCCCTATGTAATAACAAGTTAGCCGTATATGTGATGTGCATATTTTGATTATATACTTTGAGACATCAACCTAGCAAATCCAAAAAGAAAATTAGGTAGAACTTTTACTATTTTAGTTAGCCGCCATTTGAGCTACAGTAATTCCCAAACCATCATGTACATATTCATAGGAAAGAATAAGGTGGCGAAATTGACAAGAGATAATTCCAAGAAAAGGAAATCTTTTAAACTTGTTGTTATGCATTTTAGGGGGTTTTCATTGAGGGAAGCGTACACAACACCCTTTATACTCAAAATTTAGGATTTTCTCATCCCGATAAGCTTGTTAAGACTTTTATTGTGTCAACTCGGAAATCTTTAGTTGGATTTAAAATTCTTACCAACATAACGGAGTATTCATGGAACAATTAAAATTATTGCATATTATATTACTACTAATTAATTTACAATCGCCATTAAAAATATATGTAATTGTCTGTAAATTATGATTGAGTAAAGTTTTAACTTATTAATAGTAAATTATATGTGCCATTCACCTGAATTGTCAAAAATATTTTTGTTCTCCTTTTTATTTTAAAAATTGGTTATTATAGTACTCTATTCGTGGCTGAACTATGAGCATTTTGAGGCTTCAGTACCTAAACTTATAAAGGATATTTGTTTCATATATTCATTCATGATTCATGGTTCTCTACAGTGTTTTTCTCTCACAAAAAACACACATAAAATGAGAATGATTCTGAATACATAAATCAAACATCCACTTAATTTTTGTAAATCAATTCTTAAATTTTATTTTTCCAATATAAGTACCTAGTCTGTAACATAAATTTAATGAGTAATTTTTGAAATTTAACGAAGATAATCACAACTTTATCATATAATTATTGATTGCTTTACGTTAATAGTTACAATATGTGGTGCACAATCTTCTAGTTTTCGGTGGGTTTTAATTTTTAGCATTAATAAAGAGAACATTTTACACGTGATGGACACGCTGACTACCTATGTTAAGTTTCAAATATTTTTATTCAATTTTAATGCCAAGTACCAAAACCCTTAGAGAACAAAAGTTCAGAGGGTATATAATCTGCCAAAAGTTCAAGACTAAACTTTCATTATTGTTACAGTTTAAGGACTAATAATTCTAATAAGCTTTTGAGAGATTGTATCATAAATAGTTTACTCTTTTCCTTGTTTTTAGTACATGTATATACTTGTATTAATGAAGAAAATTACTGAAGTAACTTAGTAGATATGAGGTTTATCAATTAATTTACTTAACAAATATAGTATGCAGTCGATAAATGTGTGGTACATTAATTATTTAATCAACGATTATAATATTCTCTCAGTAGATATGATTTAGTCAATAAATAGGAAATTTACGAAATTTTTTTTATTTTTCAAAGAATTCGACTATTTTTTTAATTACCCCTAAAAAATTCGGCTATTGGGCTGCTAAGTATGGCCGGGACTGCTATTCAAACTGAAGGCCAGTTTAAAGCCCAAAATGTGGAAACTAGAACTTATAGCCCAAACTTCAAATTCTAGTGTGTACAGTATGGGCCACACCACACTTAAGTGTTGAGTATGTTCGCCCAATTACTGTACACAAGGAATAGCACATGCTTAACAAATATGATTCGTCACGACAAGCTAACATACTAGACACGACATATTTTCCACGTTAGTTACATACATTTTCATTTTATTTTTTCAATTTGCAATGAACTTATGATACTAAATATATGAGAATTGTGCGTTTCAAATATATATATGAGAATTGTGTCATGTTTTTATTGCAATAATCTTTTGAGTTTTTTATATCAATTCTTATTCTATTTTACTTAAGGGTGCAAAAATCATTTCCTACAAATTATTTTAAAAATTGTAAAAACTAATAATAAAATTTTGCCAATTAATTTAATGGGCCAGTGCTCCTGAATAGGCAAACATAATTGGGTAATCTTGAAAAATACCTTTTGAAAGTGTGTCATAATTTTTATTCTTTATTTTTAATTCATAATATTTTTAATTAAATAATTACACTAATAAAAGAATATTTATTAAAAGTAAGAGGTGAAAATTTAGACTCATATATTTTTAAAGATACATTTTACAATTTTATCACGACACATAAATATAGTGAACCAATGGATCATGTCGGGCCCATAGGTGAGGAGTAGTAGGTCTGCAAGGCACGAAACAAAGTAAAGAGTGAACTGCGCCAAAGCACAACATGAGAGCACGATTTTACATAATTAATTGGATTGTATCGGCACGACACATCCCATAGCTCTAAACAGCTCTTTAATAGGACTGATTAGAGCACTGAATGTGGGAACGCAGATCATTAGCAATAATGTGATCAACCCAAATATTATCCCTTCATAGAGAAAGATAAGATCCAAGGATCTTTCCTCTTCTTTTTTTTAAAAAAATTTATTTTTTAATTTAATTTAATTTTATTATTATTATTATTTTGGGGTGAAAGGCTGCCTCCATTATTTCAAACTAAATTTTCGCCTTAATGATTTATGCTGTGTTGTTTATTGATGATGGCTAATTTAAAATGCCGGTAAATGAGTAGTAATAACCCCTTCGTCTATTCATCAATTTAATTTATCTATTTAGAGAACTTTTTATGATAGGAGATTTTTACACCAAATTAGAATAAAACCATTTTGGAATAATACAATACAGTAACAATAACAATAATAAGGGACTTTTTCTAATGTTTTTCCTTTTTTGAGAATACTGTTGTTCACTGTTTATCAGCTGTCGAATTTGAATTAAATCTGATCAAAAATCAAATTAAATTAAAAAAATAATATATACGGTTAATAAGTAGATTATACCGGCATTCTCATAGAAATTTCCCAATAATATTATTTTAATTTATCTATTTAGAGAACTTTTATGATAGGAGATTTTTACACCAAATTAGAATAAAACCATTTTGGAATAATACAATACAGTAACAATAACAATAATAAGGGACTTTCTCTAGTGTTTTTTTCTTTTTTGAGAACACTATTATTCTCTACTTATCAGTTATCGAATCTGAATTAAATCTAGTTAAATCAAATCAAATTAAAAAAATAGTATAGACGGTTGATAAGTAGAGAATACCGTCATTCTCAGAAAAATTCCCTAATAACATACAAACTTAATAGAACGTAAATTATTTAAAAAAATAATAATAAAACATAAATTTATCGGAATAAAGAATATGTATATATACAAACCTACTAGAACCTAATTATGAAGATCTGATTAGAATTGCAGAGTATAAATTGGTTAACTTTTGCATCTTGTACTAAAGAATCCTCCATTTATTTACTCTACGCCCAAATGCTATACTTTCCTTGCCATATATTTCTTTTCAGAATTTATGCGGCAGCACCATTTGTACTAGCCTTGCACGCTTTCAATAATGAAATAATGGATTTGATACATACATAATATAAAAAAGTACAAAAATAAAAATGAACGTAACGAAAAAATTATCTCAGTTTAGTCTTTCGTACCCCATCATCAAATAATTAAATTTTAGCTGTAGTTTTTTGTTATTATTATTTGCTAGTTTGTCCTACTGGTAGTACTAGTTTCTAACTATTAGATTAAATTAAAATCACGTTAAATTAAAAATGTATGCAAAACTGACAATTTTTAGTACATATTTGATGCCGAAAATAAAGAACTATCAACAGTTTATTTTTTTTAATCCTACCAGAGAAGCACCTCATTTTCTAAGGAAGATAAAACTTAAAAGAAAGGTTAAATGACCACTTAAGTGGGTTGTAACGTGTTCTACTCTTATTTTGGACTGGTGTTGGAGTTTTTGCCAAGTATCTTTCTGAATAAATCCATGCGATGATTCTAATTTTTGGACTTTGATTCCTTTTTCATCACTTTCTAAATCTAGGAGAAGGCCTCTTTGGTGAGGAGCATAAAGATTTATGTTTTTTTTTTCTTAAAGACTCAGATTCTGCCTCACTTTTTTCCTATGATGTTAACTCAAGAGGAGCTCAAATTGAAGATCTAAGAAAATGACAAACAAAAAAAGGTGCATTAAGAGAGGCATATTTCCTAATTTTTTCTATAGTAGGAGTGGCTGAATGCTTCCTACACAACCTTTGAGAAACATCAAAAACATGGTAGAAAAAAATAATTAAAAAAGGGAACTTCTCTGGTAAGACTAGGAAAAATGAACCACCGCTAGTTCTCTACTAAAAGCCGTCAGATATGTATCATAAACTGTTTATTTTACATACTTTTTTAATCTGATGTGATTTTAACAATATCCAACGGTTATACACATACACTACTAGTACGACTATCCTAGCATAGAAACTCCTAAGAAAAAAACCAACAACAACTACTACTATCACTTTACCACATGATGTTCTAAAGAGACCAACGGCGATCATACTATATTACGTGATTCTTCGGACATAATAATACGTGATCACACTAAAAACCAACAGTCTCGGATTTATTTGACCAACGTTCAAAGTTCCAAGAGTTGTAGTCTAGAGCCACCATTGTTGACCTTATCTCCCACCATCTCCTGTTCTCTGCTTATGCGAATGGTTGACAAGAAGACTAAAAGATTCCAACTTCACTAAAAATTAAGAAAGAAAAGATAAAAGGGGGGGAAAAAAATAAACAATAATTGTACGAATATCTTTTGTTTTTTCCCTTCCTTTTCAACGTTACAACACGAACAATGTTATATGTCATCATTGCTGATAGATGGAGCACTGTTTATGTGAATGCTCCATCTCTTTAATCCTTTTGGATAGAGTTAAAATCTTGACAAAAAAAGGCACGTGAGGAGCGCGTGTGATTTACTAGAAGTTAACATTGTGAGCTTACATGTTAAGGCACAACTGTTCAGAAGGAAACTAATGCCTTTTAATATTTGATATTTTGACAATTGGATAACAAAAGGACTAATTTGGGGCAATTTGGAAAATCAGGGACTCGTTCTAGAACGTTTCAAAAGTCCGGGACCCTATAGTTGGGGACTCAAAATGAGTTTAACCCTTATTTACACTGGGCACAATTTAAACAGTTTAACTCATAGATGGTCTGACCAACTACCTCTCCTACAAATTCAAAGGGGGGAAAATTCACAGCATGTGAAAAAGATTTCACGTTAGGTGACTAGAACTCTCAGATACCTTGAGAACAGTTTGGAAATTTATAATATATGCGCAGTGTTATTCAGTTGGTTACCTGGATGGCATAGAAAACCAACAATCACATCAATTCATGAGTAAAAAATTAATCTGTGATACTAATAGAAATGACACTGTAACAATTATGCTGAAAATATTAACTTATCTCGGGTTTAGATACACGATGAGTATAACACAAGTAAGGTTGGTTGAGTACCTTATAGATCAATTTCCCATGGCACCCAGATGGATTTGTATTCCATGAAAGAGGTCATATCTACCCGTGACTTCTGGGATCAACAACTTGGTGCACCTTTCTCGCTTCTGCGCTTGAATACTGTCCAACTACACGAGCATGAGGCACGGACGCTTCTCCCCGTGAAAGGGCATCCACATTCTCAAGCAGGTACTTTTTCGGAAGCCTGCCCACCACATTGCCCTCTTCATTTCCATCTTTGTCAAGGAAAGCAAAGTGTGGAATACCCTCAACACCAAACTCGTCAAGCTCTTGTTCCCACTTTGTATTGTCAACATTCAGCATAACGAAATTGACGCGATCCCTGAATAAAAGTGTATACAGGAAAGCAAAGATAAGTCAAAAGCACAGTGAAACAAGAAAATGTGGAGGAAGTGTGAATTTCGATACAAATTTCTAGATTCCTAAGAACTGAGAAGAAAGAATTCACAACTGTTAAGCTGGTATAGAATTGCAAAATTGATAATTATTTAGCTAAAGGAGGTGATCATTACTTGTACTGCTGCTCAACTTTGTAAACATCTGGCGCTAATTCCCGACATACTTCACACCAATCAGCATAAAACTCTACAACGGTGGGTTTCCCATTTGAAAGAGCCTATGAAGAAAACAGACAACAAACATAAAGCTCAGAGCCAAATTATATAGCATAGCATCATGCTGGTATGGACTAAATACCTTGCATGTGTAACAGTTAATCTCAAGAAAATAAAGGTAAGAAATGATACTTCGGTCTGCTCCTATATACCTAGCTTCTTTGAGAAAGGCACAATAGGATCCAGGTAAATATATTGCCCAAATACAGCAGAAAAATTTATATGGAATATGAAACGAACATCATAATGACATATGAGAACTTTATGTTCTCGTTTGGAGCATTAAAACTTGCATCATCTTATACAATACTGCACAAGTTATTTTGATGTACCAAACGAATTACAAGTGCACTACAGTAAAAGAAAAACTTATAGAAGCAAAATCATAGAGGGTGTAAAATATTGGGGAAACCTCTTCATAAGGTAATGCAACAGCTGCTAGGTCTTTTAGAGAAACACCGAAATCCAGCCGTGACGATAAAAAAAGTCCCACTGCTGCAAGAGTAGAAACCACGGCTATTTGCTTGTTGAGACCTTTGCTTGGAGGCTCTGGGAAGCCAGAACCTTGTGAAGAACTCTTCTCTTGGCTGGCGCCCGCATTGCTGCCTGAGCTTGGATCAACAGGCAATTTATCCTAAACCATGATAATTTACACAGGCGATCAGTCAAAAAGTATAAATAGCTAATGGCGCAAAGATCACTTCAAACACTGAGAATCCATCCCGCAATGATTGCTATCAGTTCAAAAAACACAAAAAAAAAAAAAAGAAACTGTTTTGAACATATAGAATCAGCCGCTTCGTGTTAGAAGACAGTTTAGAGTTTAGACAGCTCCTCAGATTTAGGAATAATGCTAGAAGTTGTGAATTTGCTAATTATTCAGTTCAGCTAAGAAGCTGTTAGCTTTTATGTAATTCTGGAAGTCTCAATTGTAAACTCTCTATACATAATGAAATGCTTCAGAACAGTCACTGTGATTTTTTGAATTGTTATTTTTCCCTAAATAAAAAATGCAATCGACAAGTTCGAAAACCAGCACACAACAAAACAAGGAACTGCTTCAGTGTTGGGGGACTGTTTGGTATAGCTTCCTAGAAGCAATTTTAGCTTCCTAGTGTCGGGATAAGCTGTTAAAAGAGCACCAGCCCTCTAGAAGAGCTTCCTAACAAAGCCAGAAAGCTTAAAATCCCAAAAAGATCTCTTCCACAGAGAGCTAAAAACTTGTACCAAAGTTCAAATAATATTCTATTATCTTAAAGTTGAGATCATTTTCCAAAGACAATCTAAAAAGCCACAACATTTACTTCTCTCCTTCTATTACTTAAAAGCCAAAGCAAAAGCTATCCAAACAGACGTATACAAATGGGAACAATTGAACAGCACAATTTTAAAGCTCGTTTTAGAAATGCCCAATAGAACATGAATTCCAAGCTATTAAGGGCTAGTTTGGACGGTATACTCATATTCTTGATTTGACGTTTGAAATTCAAATTTTTCATGAGAGAAAAGCAAAATTAATAATTTGAGTTTGAGTAACATTTCACGAGAAGGGCACAATGCTAAACTCAATCACCTTAACCTAAAACTGTAAAATACCAAACATGGCGATTACAGGCTCAAAACCCAGGTGATAAATCCCAAAATTTCGCATACATGGGAAAAGGGAAAACTGAAAGCAGTTGAATAAGAAGGAAGAGAATGAATAACGCTTACCGGCGCGGAGGATTCAGTGGGATTAGGGGTCGTTTGGCAAGCAACGATTTGCCATCTTCGGCTCTTGTTTTGGAGATGAAAATTGGGTTTAACAGTAACAGATTGATGAAGAGCTTGAGATGTTCGAAAACATGGTTGGAATCTATGGAGACCCACGGGGTTTGTAGCCACACGAGCCATTGGAGACGTGTTTTTCGTGTGTATTGATTTATATTTCCGTTATTCTTCTACTAATTGAACAAACTGTCGATTTGTTTGCCGATATTATTTAATTTTACTTTTATTACATATATATATATATATATATAACCTGCAGATATTATTATATTTCTGGAAGCACAACACAAGTGGTTCTATTGTTGGCGCGTCGCAAAAAGGGGTCGTCGAGCTGCGATAACTAGTGGTTCTGCTTTGATTTAATGCTTTTTCTTTCACTATCAGGTCAATTACACGTTAAGAAACAAAAAAGATTCATAAATACCCCTAAACTTAATTTGATAAAACAAACTGTTTGGAATAAGATTATAAATAATGTCACGTTATCATTTATTATTATGATGGATAGAGAGGTCTTTTGAATTATTTTTATATAATGAGATAAAATCATTTTGATAAAATCATAAATGTTCATTCTATTCTATCCTTTCTTATTAATTAACAAAAAATTAATAATTTTCTAAAAAATTAAGAAAATACTTTAAAATATTTAAAATTTTAAAAAATCAAAATAAGTTAAAATGTTTTTAGAAAATATTTTAAAAGTTATTAGTTTCTATTTAATTAATAAAAAGAGCAGTTTGGGCATTATATGTCTAAAAAATCAGTCTTAAGGTACTCAAATCAAATAATGTTTTTTGTTAAGATGAATGTACTATTTTAATATTATTGAAAATAAAAAATACTAGCTAGATGTTTCGTTATAACAGAGGGCATCAAAATGATTTTATCCCTTATATAATTTAGTAAATGAAACAACTCTAAAAATGAGAAATATGTATAATTAGGATTTATAATTCAAGGGGTGTTTGTATAATTTACATTTTACCTTAGAATATGTTAGCATGAATTTTGGTGTACAAAAAGTAAAGACAGTTTTGCCGTGTATTAATCATTGATTATAAATATATGAAATGATGGTTTGTATGAAACAATCAATATCCTCTATAAGGAGTTGTTGGTCAAATTTGTAGACCAAGCAAACGGTAGTTGGTTTAAACTTTATATAAGATGTCTAGATGGTATAATGATAATCAAAAGAGAGGGTGATTAGTTAGTGGTAATGCTTGCCCCCCGAGGTGACAAGTCACTCATGTCCTCGACTAGGTGAGAACTAAACTTGATTGGCGATGTTATGGTTCGGTGGTCAAGGGATCAGTCATGATTGATTGACTTAAACTCATAATTTTAATTTTTTTTTATAAAATATTTAAATTAAAAAGTTTTTATTAATAAATTCTCTCATCAAATTTAAATTCATAATTAAAATTACTAATTTAAACTCATGAATCAAACATGTCTTAATTCTTACAAAAAATTAGTATTAAAATGTCGACTCGGTTCCTCCACTGAGTGAGCATAAAGATTTATGCCCTTTCTTAACATTGTAAGATTTTGAACCTCGCTTTCTTTCTTTATGCATTAGTTTGAGGGTAAAAATTATAAGAGATTTGCGCATAAAATGGGTCCAAAAAATGGTATCACCCATTAGTGTTCCCAACGCGTTGGGCGTTCATCAATCAACAATGAAAAAACAAAAAAAAAATCAAGACAAAGATCATGTCACTGATTTATTCCTTTCAATTTGTTCACACATCTTTCAAAAGTAACCTTCTGCGAAGCTAGTATTATGAGACGTTTGGTTCATGGATTATAATTATAAGATTAAAACTATTTTTGATTTACGTGTATTTTTTGTGAGAAAAAACACTGTAACGAACCATGAACCATAATTCGAATCAGGATACGAATCCCCTTACCAAACACACCCCAGTGATTCAGATAAAATTGACCATCAATATTGAACAAACGGATAAGGGCTCTCCTTGATAGCCTTCTTTACAATTTTGGTTTCAAATGCACTAGTCTTCAAGTCAGATAAGTGCTCACGTGGGTAGTTTTCTGGTATTTGGCTAAAGATTTCCTCCATCCAATCATTTATATTTTTTTTTTCTTTTTTTGTCTTCTTCTCTAAAAATAAGAATATCCTTAGACCCGTTATTGGAATTTATTAAGTACTATTTAATTACCATATTCAAGTTGGTACTTGGTTTCATTTGCTAAATAAAAACGAAAAATCATTAAGTAGTAACCAAGGCGGCAAGAAGTACCAAGGGGTACGAAAAGAAAATCGAGAATTTGATTATTTTCCAATCAGGTCTAAGTTACTAATTACTCTACTTATTGTAGCTGTTGTTAAACATGTGTGCAAATATAGTCATCAGGAAATTGGACAAATAGAGGCCACATTCTAATGCAACGTAATAATTCCCATGTGTTTTTTTTTTTTTTTTTTTTTTTGATACGCAAAATTTTAACCTTTTATCGCAAGGTTCTAGAGTTAGAGAATATTGTGTTTGTTCTAATAATACCGTACTCTGTGAACATTAAGATTGTGATTATGGGGCTATCGTATCATATTCTGAATTGGTGCATATCGAAAACTCAATGTGGTAAATCGTTGTATTTGATATGATAGAGTGAGAATTCAATCTGGTACCAAATGGTATACGTTTCTGATAGCACTGAATGATATGAAAGGCTTAGCATAAAAACTCAACCCACGCGGGTAAAGTTTGTAATTAACAATTATGTGTGTGGTGATATATCTCGAAAAAAATTCTAGTGACTAAAAGGTTTAATACCGTGGATGACAATACAAGGTCTTTCACACTGTTCGGCAACTTGTTTTTTTCCCTGTGGAGAATTAGGCAAATCAGGTTCTTAATAGTTGGACTGTGGAAATTAACAAATATTATATGACAACAAATTTGAGCATACTTAATTATAAGTATTCTTGATATATCTAGTGCAATGTTCAACCCCCCCTAGTGCAAACCTACCCAACTTCTTTCGCGTCTCCAAGAAAAAAAATAAAAAAATTATTTTCTTTTCCTTTGATCAGCTATTTAGTCATGTATATGCCAAAATGCAGTACAGCACTCTTCTTGGCGTGGATAAAGATAAGAGAAGGGTGATTAGGACTCAACTTTTAAAAAAAATAAAAAATAACAAGTCATGACAAGGTAGAAGTTGTGGATATTAATCCTTAATCCTTCAATTTTTCAAAAGCATAATAATACTACGAGTTCCTAATCCATCATTGATGACATATATGATTCGTTTTCCATTAGAGATGCTCATCATTTAATTTGACTTCTTCTAGCTCTATTAGGGGTAAAAAGAAACTTATATATGCTTAAGCAAAACAACTCTTGACAACTCAGCACTCACTTTCACCTTCATGTCCTCAATTGCCATATACACCACAATAAAAACAACAACAAGGTAAATTTTTTTTTTAAAGAAAAAAAAATGTGACTTAAAATGTTTTAATACCAAGAATTGTATGGTTAGTATAATTAATGTCAGAAATTTACTATTATGGTAGGGTATTTCTCCTACCTTATTATATTATTCTCTTTTAAATAATAAAGAAAATAATATGAATTCTTCGAAACAAAGAGACAGAAAATCTCTCAATTAGTTGCTTCTCTATAGTGAAATAATGACAAGAGTAAGGTGGATTGGAGTACACGAAACTAGTCAATAATAAATTAAGTAAATCAATAATAAATTATGATGCATCAGTAATTAAACACCGATAAAAAAATCATTTCTCTATTCATCCATTAATTTAAAAGGGGTGGCCAAAATCGGCTATCCACCTAGTTTTTTCAAAATCAAATTGTACAGGCAAATTTTAAGAACTCAATACTAAAAACACTTGAAAAAAAAAAAAACAGAAGAAACCCTCATTTTACTTATAATTACAAGCGTGGTCTCATGATGATTAGGTTGGTACACTATGTTTTGAGATGCGCTCCACATTGTAGAGATGTTTGTCTGCCATTTCTATTCCTTTAGGACAATGTACACTACACGCTTTTGAAAAAAATAGTGATATTCAAACACGCGGATTTAGCCCACAGAAGGCCTTTGTCACCTAAAAATTGGTCAGGGGTATGAATGAATAAAAAAAATCAGAAAAATAGAGGACCTGTAAAATCCTTTGACTTTGTCAAGCGTCCTCTTTTTTTTTTTCCTTCTGAATTTCAAGTGTCCTATTTAGTGGTATTATTCTGTGCTCCCGTTTTTTTGACTGATTTAAATTTAGAATTTAAGTTTACTATAGTAAAAAGTTTTAAAAAATAATTACATTTAACTTTTTTACTATAATAAAAAAATTTTACATAACATCACATCTCAACTCGAATTAAAAACTCAAATTAACGAACTGAACGGGTAAACAATAGCCCCATTACGCCCTCCCTTTGATTATACACGTCACTCGCCCATCACTCCCACTTTTGAATTTTTTGCACATTTCCAACTATCAGCCTACAAGTAGCTTACCAAATTTATTTTTTATTTGAGAATTTCACTCCTAATTCTGAAAAAATAAATTCTCGAAAAGTTTTATTTACAATATTAAGATTTGTATAAAATAATTTTCTATTATGCGTATTTTTGATTTAATGTGATTTTAGTTAAATTTAATTATAAAAAAGTGACCATGACAATAATGACACTCTAAAAGAGAAATTTTTTTTTTTTTACTTTATTTAGGTGATTTATGCTAGCTGATTGTACGGGATAATAGGTATTGAATTTTGAGAGTTAAAATGATATGGCAGTTGAAAGTCTTGTAACACTTTCTCCTAAACGGCATTGATAGGGGAAAAAAATAGAGATCATTTTAAACGGTCAGAATCATTTTGATTTATGTCTAAAGGCTCAAATTTGGAATGAATATACAGCCCAAAAAATAAGAATTGTACCGCAATTCGGTGTCAAACTTGCATGTTGAAAAGCATCCCATCAATTATTTAAATCAACTTAACCCATTTTATCTTCCAAGAGTGCCCTTTTAACCTAAGCCTAACCCTTGTGATAATTTTTTTAAAAACAAAAAATGAATTTATAGTGCGGTTACTCTGCATAAAAAGAAAGACCAACGGAATAATTATTTCATTTTTTATTTAATTATGTATTTAATTACAAATGATTAAAAAATAATGAGAATTTAGTGAACATCACATAATAGAAGGAATGAAAAAAAAAATCCAATCATTTAACTCCTCAATATTCATTCAATGATAAAGAGAATATATACCAAATTTACTTCTATATTATTAATGAATCACACAAACAGTAAATTTTTAATTTTATGGAAAGATATTTGAACAATTATATAGATAAGACTTTCTATTGTTTAATAAACATTAATAAGGATAGTAGATTGCTTTCCCTTACTTTTTTTTTAGAATTGCTTTCCCTTACATTTAAATTTAATATAAATAAGTAAAAAAATATAAACGTTATTATTTATTTATTCTCTTTTTCAAGAGAAATTATTATTGCTAAATTCTCTTTAACTTGAATTAGAGTTATAAGTTTAGACCGGATTAAACGGGTCGATATGAGATCTGATATTACTGGTCCGGTCGGATTAGGTTAAGATTTTGAGATTAAAAGTTTACAAGAATAATAAAATTTTAATATCATTAAAATAATAACTATATTATTACCAAGTATAAAAATGTGACCGTCCCACTCTCGTTTAGGACTGGCCCGCCCGATCCGAAATTTCCATTCGTGGATGTTGTTTTGGTCTGCAGATGAACGGTCATGATTTGCTGGTGAAGGTGGAGAGACTTTGGTATCTTCTCATGGTGCGTCTTCTATTTATATCTATATTATATTGTTTATTTGGCTGAAAGACCAAAAGCATACATAGTCAGACGAGTTGGTATAAACATGCAGACAAAGAAGAAAGGAACACGCAAGAAAAGAAATGGGTAAAAGTTAAGCAAAGCAAATCGAGAGAGAGAGAGAGAGAGAGAGAGAATTGTGATTTAACTGCGTAGTTTCTTTGAAAACCAAACGAAGGGTGAGTTTTCTTTCTTTCTAGATTCCAGAAGGGAATGAATTTTCTGTGCATTTTATAACTTGTACAAATACAAACAAAAGTCGTGAAATATTGATCAGTTTAGATTCTTTTAAATGGGTAGCTCAAAATCCTCACAACCGAGCTTGTAAATTTTCTTTGCTATTCAATTAATTAATTCCTTATCTGGGTCCTGGGGTTCTGTATTATATTTATTTTATATTTGTATTCGTTTGGAATTCTCTTGCCAAGTTTCCTATTGTCTTTTTGTGTTTTTTTTCCCCCTTTTTCTGGTTTGATAAGTCTTTTCCTTGCTTTTCAACGTACCTAACCTCACAATCTTATAGTAATAAATTACAACTCATTTTAAAAGATATCACCAACTTGGAGACCTTTTTTTTGCCTTTTGGCTTGTCTTTCTTGTCTATACTACTAATATTGGAGATCAAAATCTAAATCTTTCTTATTTGTTCCTTAAAATAGAATAACTTGTGTGTTGATCTCCATCTGGGTATCCACTGAATTGCAGAATATGACTAGTTTATGATATCATCTCTGCTTCTGCTTGTTCAAGTTTTCATATTGCACACCAGGTGAACTTTTTTTTTTGGCTCTCTTTTTAATTCGTGTTATTAGATTTCTGTTTTGTTCAACTTGTAAATTTCAGCATATGTTTGTATTATTTGGTCTCTGAATTACCCTGGATTTCTCTTGTACAAGATGACTCTGTATCTTGTAACCTCAAAATTAACCTACTCAATTTTGATTCCATTTTTTCGTTATTTCTTGTCATGAAAAGTTAAAAGTTTTAATTATAATTTTTCTTTGTCTCCATTTTCCTTGCTCCTCTGACATGGGATTTTTCATTTTTGTCCAAGTCAACGAGGTATATTTTGGAAAATTCATTTCATTTTTAATTATATGACATATCATGTTTGTGATCAACGAATTGAGTCTTCTTTAACTTGTCTTCTTCGGGATTTGGCACATTCAACTGGTGGTTGTTTTTTAAGCCTGTTAATGAGAGCGAAAAAGGTTTATCTTGAAATAAGTGCTAATTTTCTACGGATCATAGAGGTTAAAAACTTATGTATCCGCTTTGTTGTTGTTGCATATCTGATTGAACTGATTTACACTGAAAAATTTGTCATGCGATCTTTCTGATTTTTACTTCCTTTTACTTTCTCACTCTTTTTTATGATCTGAAGATGCCAAAGATCATATGGTTCCTTAGTCTTTGCAATTGAGTTCTTGAAGATTCAGAGTAGTTATCTATATATGAGCACTTTAGAGTGGGTAACTTTCCGACAAGCCCTCGATTATATCCTCGTATTTTCTGTAAATGTATGTCAGTACTCTATTGTCATAGACATCTTTCAATTTTCATGGTGAACTAACAATTAGAACGAAAAGAAAATTCGAAGTTTGTATGCAGAAAGAATACATACGATATTGTTTCGTTTAGTGTGATTGAAATTTAAAATTTGTAGAGTTCAATTTCCTGCAAATCTTGAAAGTCTAAACTTAAGCAACTCAAGAACTCTATAAGGTCCGCCAGTTGAAATCTTGAAACTAGTAGGATCTAAAAAAGTAGTCTTTGGTGGTGCAACCACAGAAGGACTATGCTAGCTAAGATGTTAACACCCATTCCTTTTGTAATTACACTCCTGCACTCATAATTTTCGAAGGATCATTTGCATTTACACTAGATAATAATAAGGGTCATAGTACTTATAAGAGCGAGTTCTTTGGTCTGAATGGTATTGTCCTTAAAGAATGTTTATTGATTGATCCAAACTCTCTCTTTCTTAGTCCATCATGGTAGATATCAACTTTTCATATTAACATTTTAATTCTTCTGTGATTAGCATAGCTATAATAATACATTTTTTTTTTTTCCTGGCGTTGTGCAGGAATCCTGTCGGTGGAAGACTTTTTCGGTGAGTTTGTTTCTTCAAGATTTCTTCTTTGCTGATTTTCTGAAAAGCTTGATTGGAAGTTCTGTGCTAGTTTCCAGTGACAGTAAAAGTAGTAATTTCCTTTCTAATACAAATGACAGTATGTCATGCAGATGTGAAGTTCTATGATCAAACTCATCTTCCTCGAGATCTGAAGTGAAAGTGTAAACAATGTCCCTAGTCAGGCCTGCAGATCTATCTGCCGCTTCGTACAGAAACCCCAAGCTTTACTCATTGAAAGGAAGCAATGAGAGCTCGGGCTTCTCAACCCAAACATTTGGATCCGACAAGCCTCGGACCGTGTCTGTAAGTGATTCTTACAGCACCGAAAGTTATGAGAAGTACTTCCTTGACTCCCCGAGTGATTCAGGCATCTCCAGAAATTCATGTAACCCGCAGGATTTCTCCTCTTACAACCTCCGAGCTGCATCAGTTACCACCTTGACCAACCAGAACCCTTGTACTACGTCTTCCATGTCCATGAGGCATCGCGATGCCTATCAGTCCAATTTTACATCAGATTACTTGGAAAGTCAAAGCCTCGATCTAGGAGATATTGATGAAAACACAATGAGACTGAAGCTTCAAGAATTGGAGAGGGCACTCCTTGATGATAATGATGGCGAAGATGATGAAGACATGTTTGGTTCGGGCCAAAGCATGGAAGTTGATGGTGAATGGATTGACCCTGTCCAGAACGCACTACTCCAAGATTCACCCAAAGAGTCATCCTCATCTGATTCTAATCTGAGCAGCATCAGCAGCAATAAAGAAATATCGCTGATCTCACCTCGAACTCCCAGGAAGTTGCTTATCGATTGTGCTGGTGCTCTTTCAGAGGGAAACGTAGAGGAAGCCTCGATCATGATGAATGAGCTGCGTCAGATGGTCTCAATACAAGGAGAACCTTCCCAGAGGATTGCAGCCTACATGGTGGAAGGCCTTGCAGCACGGATGGCTGCCTCGGGCAAATTTATTTATAAAGCACTGAAATGCAAAGAGCCCCCGTCTTCTGATCGTCTAGCAGCCATGCAAATCCTATTTGAGGTGTGCCCGTGTTTTAAATTCGGGTTCATGGCAGCAAATGGGGCTATCATTGAAGCTTTCAAGAATGAGAAGACAGTTCACATAATAGATTTTGACATAAACCAAGGGAGTCAATACATAACACTGATACAAACAATTGCCTCCAGGGCAAGTAAGCCACCCCATTTGAGATTAACTGGGGTTGATGATCCCGAGTCAGTTCAGCGTTCAGTTGGAGGCCTTAAAATCATTGGACAGAGGCTTGAGAAGCTGGCAGAAGCACTTGGTGTACCATTCGAGTTTCAAGCAGTGGCCTCAAGGACTTCACTCGTCACTCCCTCAATGTTGGACTGCAGGCCTGGGGAAGCACTTCTTGTGAATTTTGCTTTCCAACTCCACCACATGCCCGATGAAAGTGTCTCGACAGTAAACCAGAGGGACCAGCTCCTTCGGATGGTCAAGAGCATGAATCCAAAACTCGTGACAGTTGTGGAACAGGATGTGAACACCAATACTGCCCCTTTCTTCCCGAGATTTATAGAGGCTTACAATTACTATTCGGCCGTGTTTGAGTCACTGGATGCTACTCTCCCAAGGGATAGCCAGGACAGGACCAACGTTGAGAGGCAGTGCCTGGCACGGGACATAGTAAACATCATTGCATGTGAAGGAGAGGAGAGGATAGAGCGCTATGAGGTTGCCGGGAAATGGAGAGCAAGGATGACGATGGCTGGTTTCACACCATGTCCGATGAGCACAAATGTGGTTGATGCAATCAGGAAACTTATCAAGCAATATTGTGACAGGTACAAGATCAAGGAGGACATGGGTGCACTTCATTTTGGATGGGAAGACAAGAACTTGATTGTTGCTTCTGCTTGGAGGTGAAAGAATCATTTGACTCAACTATATGTTTCTTCTTCGGTTTTGTACTTTTATTTTTGTGTGGGATTATATGTATGCCGATAATGTAATCCGAACCAAAAATAAGGACTTCTTCAGGGAACTGCTAATCGCCTAACGTCAATAGATTTGGTTCAGCGCTTGTGAGAATCTATGCATAAAGTTCATCTTGTAATCATATATTAGTTTATTCTATAATTCTAGTTTGCATTTTGGTGTTACCTGACTCAATCAACCGTTTGTAGTGAACAATTTTTTTGACAGTTTTTTCATCAAAATCCATATTTATAATCTCAAAATCCTCGAGAGCAACCCGCCTTGACGCTACAAGACTTTTGCCTTGAGAGATTACCCGTTTTGAAATTTTTTACTTACAGTAAATGAGATCATTTTTTATTATTTACTCATGATTAATATGTTTTTTAGTTAAATAAATATATTAATTAAAAGAGTATTAATCAAAAGTAAAAAATAAAAATTCAGACTCATACACTTTAAAATTTACCCTTATAAGCCCAAGTGCCTAAAGAACCTGAATCCTTAATTTAAAATTATTTTTCTTTTTAATATCAAAATCTCATATGAGAATGTATAATAGAATACAATCACACTCTCTGAAATAAATCTTAGACTCCATTTCTTCTCTATTAAAAATAAAATAAAATACACCCCTTTGACCTAGAAATTGATTACCCAGCATAGAAGTATAATGGAGAACGATTATGTTGAACTTACACCAAATTTTATTCAATTCTTATAAGGGTGTATTATTTATTAGAAAAAAAAAAAAAAAAAAAAAAAAAAAAAAAAAAAAAAAAAGGGGGGTTTATTCTGATTTGGGTTTTTAAAACGTACAAGGGTGGCTTCATGTCGATTCGGCTTTTGTGTTCTCTATCTATTTTCATATAAGCTTGGTGAAATCCTTTTGGCGCGGGTGGCGTTCTTTTGTTTAATTTTAATTATTGTTGTGTTCTTCTTATATAACATAAAAATCCTGAGTTTATCTCTCACTATCAATTTCATCTTCTCTCGTTGATGTAAAGTTCTTGGGTTTCATCAAACTCTCACCTAAATGCATTTATTATAACCAGATTTTGTCTTCAATTCTTCAATTACAAACGAATATATGGGTTCCCCATAATTTCCGTTCTTGTTTGCAGAGACTTGGGACGTTAGAAGATCATTGGGGTGTATTGTATATAAGTATACATGAGCAATGATGAGGGATTTTAACATTAAAAATGTAAATAATTTTAAATTTAAAACGAGTATATATCTATTTAGGGTGCTTTAACAAAAATTTGGGATGTGAATATAATTTCCCAAAATAGAATAATAAAAATGTAAATAAAACAGAAATATGCTGTAATTTCTTTATCTTGCTTCCAAATCTTTCTAGTGTCATAGGGGCTGTAGCAAATTTGTATTTGGTGATCAATGTTTTACGCCAACAAAACATAAAGCTACCTCTGCTTGGGCCTGAAGCTCTTCCAAGACCTTTACAATGTTGGGCCTAGACATGGACGTGGTGGTTTCAGTGCTCTCTGCAAGCATTTTCCTCAATCTTCATCCATGCACATGGAAGGTTAAAAAACAAACATCAGACAAAATAATTACCAACTACAAAACTCAACCCGTTTGTCCGCTGCAAAGTAAAAATAAAAATAAAACAGTAATAATATCCAGACCTATTTGTTCCCATAATTAAACGTTATGGCCGAAGAATTTCAATGCCAAATTTTTTAATGTAACGAGAAATTCATGCAATTCAAAATAAAGAACCAATTCCTAGTAAAAGTCAATATAATAAGGTTACCAATGGTTATGACGTGGTACGATTTGTATCATGCCACTAGCTCAAGTCCCACAGCTTCATGTGCAGCCTTTATCTTATTTTATTATACGATAGCACTCGCAATTTGGCGCCCTTATTAGTATTAAACCAACTCTAAAGGGAGTGAGTGGCCTACTCGTCGTAGGGCACGAAAGGTATAACACAAAGAAAGGAATGAAAGCAATCGAAGAATTAGGGCCCGTTTGGTTCATAAGTTTAAGTTAGTGATTCATTGGCAGAAACTTTGTGAGAACAATTTACGGGAATTTTTTTTTTATTCAAATTTTTTGTGAGAGAAAAACACTATAACATAATCAGAATCATAGGTTAAATCAACCAAACGAGCACTTAGTTCATTAGGGACAGATAGATTGGTAAAACGGTAGTAGGTACAGATACGATTATCAATCATGAACAAAGCAGATATGAATACAGGTGCAACGCAGTTTCTACGAATAGAATCTCCCAACACTTATCAAAAGACATAGCTAGGCACATAGCAAAAGTGTACCTGTAGACCATTGCTGTGTTTCCATGTCCGGTGCAAACTATAAGCATGGTATTAGTGGGTAAAGCATTGTGAAGACTACGGATTCTAGCATCCATGCGAGCCAGAATTTCCTTCAATTCTGGTGTCACCTTACATTTGCCTCCTTTCTTACTTGCGGATGATTTACATGTAAGCAAAGACATCATCTCTGCGAGCTTCGCGTTTAATTTTTCTGGATCTCCTGCTTGTTTCTTGAAATATGAATTCAACTCCGAGAATTGAGTCCAAACAAAATGCACTCGTTCGTTCTTCACCTGTAGTAGAAAAATAGACGTAAAGCAAGTTTGCAAGGGTGGGTATAGCTAAATTATGATAAGGAAAATGCATTGCCGCCAGTAAAGCATCCACCTACCTCCTTTTGGGCTTTAGAAAGAGCTTCCTCATCTGAAGACACGGGAATCACGTGGGATGATTCCGAAGCATAACGTTTCACTATGGAAACATCATCAATGATGGAAGAGATCTTTCCACAATCACTCAAAACTGTAAGGAGCTTTTTCCGCATTAATGATGGCGGTGACCCAAAGTCGGGCCCTAATCCATATTAAAACAGCCAAAAGCATATATAAGAAATGGAAAAAAGATCAGAATAAAAATATTCTCAACTGCAAGCACATGCAGCGGAAGGCAACACACACCCAGCGCAAAACACAAAAGAGAAAGCAGCTCTAAAATTATCATTTTTGAAAAGTGTCAACTTCCATTACCAAGTAGGCATCAGAAGATTATACACAAAAACTAAACCGAACTAATAATACCTTCCAGAAAAATACGACAATGAATGGTGAAGAATAGAGAATAATCACCAGAATTTATCTGTTTCTTTAATATATACTAGTGGAGAGGAGCACGTGCCTTTGTTTTCAAATTAGATCCATTATATAAGTTGTGATATATATGCGGTTTATGTATGCAACTGTACTACTTAAATATTTAAATGGGAACCAAAAAAAAATGGGCATTAAGAGAACATGGAAATAGTTAATATATGTGACTTCCCAAAAAAAAAAAATCGACATACGTAGTAATAGTTGATAGTTGATATATGTGACTAAAAAAATGATATTTATTCTAATAGTTGATTTTTTTTTTAGGCTATTTATTATTCTCCAATTTTTCATTCTAGTCCCTTATTTTATGCATTCTTATTTCTATTAATCTCACACCCTTAACGTTGTATGCATTATAACTTTTATTAGTGTCTAAGAAGTGTACTTCTAACTTACCACAAACAAATGTTCAACTCTTTGATCAACCAAAAACTGTAAGAGGTGATAGTCTAAAACATTTTTCTGCCAAACTCGGGGATACCTTTGGTAATTCAAATAAAGCAATGGAGAAGGCAGCATTTAACTTAAACTCAGGGGATATATTTTTAGTTTTCTCTGACAGAATCCCTTACCATGTTTAATTTTTAAGAGTGCCAATTCCAATGCAGTCCTTGCATCTTCAATGCTGTCATGACCATTCCCTGACTGTTGTATCTCCTTAGAAAGAAATCTCTTGGCAAGAACTCGTAAAGCAGATTTATAAGATCCGCCGCGAGGATGCTTGTACAGTACTGCAGTGTCAATCACCCGATTGTGAGAGATCTTCAATGCTAATAAATCATTTTCCACCGAATGCCCAACTAAGATGGTCTCCTTGTAAACCAGCTTTAGAAAATCCTCCTGAGTACGGGAAGCAACTGTAAATAAATCATAAATAATAGTCTTAACACAAAAGTCAAACGAAAGCAAACTTTACATTCACAAGAATTTTTGGCCGAGCATTTAAAATTAAAGGAAGTCCGGAAAAATTAGTAAACCTGAATATCTTTAAGACTCGTTGTCACCCCATCTAACATGTCACTAGTAATCCCACTATACCTGCACAATATATATATATATATATACATGTTTTTAAATAAGCAAATCCTAACATTAAAAAAAAATAAAGAGGACAAGGTGTCCTCAGCAGGGACGACAAAAGGAGAATACTAAAAACAAAGCCGAACAACAAAAGAAAAACCCTTACACAGAACCCCTAATAACAAAAGAAAAACCTATTGGCTAATTACATCCCTCCAATTATGAATAATTAAAGAGAAAGAAAAGCCTTTAAACTCTTTGTCTGATGCTTCACGTAAAGCTGCAGAGAACTTTGCCTTAAGAACAATTAACAATATTGTTAATTGCATCAACAAAACAACGGGGAGAGAAAATAAGTTACCTTCTTCACGATGATAAACCAAGAAGTTATGCCAAAGATGGTAAAACTCAGATTTAGAAGAACAACTTGTGCAATATCCATAAAATAACTAAAATGTAAGACGAAAAGTATTCAACATCCTCTAAACCTATTGGGAAAATCAATTTTTATACCAGGACGTCCAGTGCTAAAAAGGTTTACTTAATAGTCTACCTTTCTCCTTGCATTAAGAAACAAAAGCGTAAACTCGTATCCACCTAATTATTCAGAAAAACTAATTTAAAATAGGTACTGAAAAGGTCTACTTGGAGCTTAAACAACAAAATACCTGGTGTTGTAATCAATGATATTGTTTGATGGTTTAACCAATTTATCTAGCACAACCTGGAGAAGAAAAAAGAGAGAAACTAGTCATACATATCCAAAGATCCTTAATAATAAGCCACATTCGCGCTGCTAATCAAAGTAAAAACTCAAGTTTCATAAATGTCTTGAAAGACAGGATCTCAATATTATACTAATCTGTCACAAATTCAAAGCAAAAGAAAAGGTAACGTCAAAAATCAAACATAGAGATATATAAGCGTTGATCATATTACGTGCCCCAAAAGTATTGTTCTAAAGAAAGGCTACAAGTACAAGAACAGAGATTTGGCAATATCATTGGGCAAAGTACAAACTTAATTAAAATATACCTGTCCTTGGACGTCCACCAAGGTCACTCTTGTAAGCTCAAAACCCTCCCTCGTGATGCACTGCACAACCACATAATAATAATAATAATAATAATAATAATAATAATAATAATAATAACAATAACAATAACAACAACAACAACAACAACAATAACAATAACAATATCAATATTAATAATTAACAAAATGAAAAACAAAGAAGACAGACAAGCACAAATAAAATAAACAAATATATAAAAATAGAAGCCTTTATCATTATCCTTAAACATTCATTGTAAACAAATTTTAAAATTTCCTCAAGCTCACAAAAATCCCAATACTTATACCTACTAAGTGAGACATCAAAAGATCCTATTTAGGGTTAATTTCATTTTTGAACCCGGAACTATGTTCCGTGTCTCATTTTGGCCCCCGAAATTCAAAAGATTATGAAATGCACCTTAAACTATGCTCTTTGTCTCATGTTTCGCCCTTCAGCCACTAAAATTGTTAAAAACTCAAAGGAATCAACCGTGTGAACTGATTAATGAAGGATACTTTAGACAAATCATGCCTTTCAGATGAATTTAAATAAATTTAACCCCCACTTCGGTAGCCAACAAACTTGTGTAGAGAGAGCATAATTTAGGCATGATTTGTTAAACATACCCTTCATTAACTACACATGTGAATGTCACATTGTTGATTCTGTTGAGTCATCGACTGTTTTGTGACAAAAAAGCCAAGCACAAGACAAGGAATGTAGTTTAGGGTGCAATTTGTAATGTTTTAAAGTTTAGAAGCCAACATTGGACAAGGAGCACAGTTCGAAAGCCGAGCTTGACTAAACAACCAATACATTTAAAGTCTGAACCTACTTACCATCTCACAATCAAGTGCCAACATTTCATAGGGACATGCTTCTGAAGGTGCAGGGAGAGTAGAAAGAAAACCTACATAAAATATGTTAGGACTTAAGGACTAGATAGCAAGTCAATAACAAACGGCAAGCAGAAATAATAATAATAATAATAATAATAGTAATAATAAACACAGCATACTACATTCAGATCACCTTGCTGATTGAGACAATAGCCATTGTCTTCCATTTCTTTTTCTGTAAGTGTGTAATATGTGATGGGGAAAGGTATATTTTTCGTAAGTTCTGCAAGGGGCTGTTTATCTGTCCCAGAACTGTATTTTCCTGCGTAAAAGAAAATGTAATTATATTAAGTAGATCTAGAAATGTTACACTGTAACATGTATGATACAGAACACATATATATAATATATCATAATTTAAATCTGCAGATAATGAGTTTATAATGGAAATGGGGCTGAAAAGAATTAAAAAATAGTTGGAAGCAAAAGGAACAGAAAGAATAGGAAAGTACAAGAGCTATGTTGCACAATTTCATATTGCCTTCAGAGGAAGTTAGATCGAACAGCTCTTGGCTTAATAGGTTAAGTATATAATAACAAAAGATGTAAAGGGTTCTTCAAGAAGAATTTCTGGAATAATGGACAACAAAAGGTATAAAATGTGAATAACTACTAGAAGAAACATGGTTAAATAACCAGTCTTTTTAGTTATATAGTTAGTAATAGTTTCAAGAAAGATGGTTAATAACCAGTCTAGTAATATAGTGACAGTCTTTTCAAGACATTATTTACCTTCACTTTCTGTTTTAGATTTCATAGAGTCTGAATGATTTTGGTCTCTTTTTCTTTTCACCTTGCACGTGAGGAGTGCATCAATCGTTTGCATTCCATCTGATATACAACTAGCACGCAGGATTTGAAAATCAAAACAAAAGTTGAGGAAATACATAACATTTCCAAAGGGAAATGAAGAGATGTGCAACTCGCATAGAGGAATTGAAATAAACATTTTAAAAAAAAATAAGTTAAGGAAATACAAAATAACGCTTTCAAAGAAGAAACCAGGAATGACATCAAAGCTAACCTAAGTGCCAAAACTGGCCTTGGATTCGCACAAAATTCTTCAAGACTTGGAAGTATTTTGGACTGAGATATGTACAAAGCCGCATCTAGGCCTGGAACGTAAAGCATAACCACTTTTGGGATAAGTGGTTTATTCTGCCAAAAAAAAAAAAAGAAATATATGATAAACAACAGTGAAACCAACTCGGTGTGTTTAAACTTGCAGCTATACGTCTATATGAACAAAACCATGCATCAAGTGAAAGCGAATGTACCACGCAACAAAAACCAGTAGTTCAAACATAGATTCTATGGCCAGAAGCTCAGAGTTCAAAGTATATTTATTGATTGTCCAAAGCTCAACAGTGTGAGTCTAGCCTAACTCTAAAGAAAACGGAGGTCTTGCAAGAATTTTAAAAATGAAAAAAGGAAATTCACATTAACATATACTTGGGCATGGTAAAGGGAAACTTTTACCTTAATGAAAACCCATGGTGGCATGAATCCTTCAGCAAGCACCCACGTCACTAGACCTTGAACATCCTGTATCATAGCACCAAAATCCCAGTTAAAATTTTACAATGCCTTACCAAAAAATAAAAATAAAAATAAAAAAGATATTTTGAAGGTTGCGGAACGAACTTGCAAATTCAGAGTAGAGGTAGCCTCTGGTTTTTTAAAAACAATATCTGCTTTACCCTGAAAAGGCAAATCAATTATGGTTCCACCCATCTAACGTAGACACAAATATAGGGTGTGTTTCACAATTCTCAATAGAAGAATGAGGAAAATTCCAAATATTAAAAGAATAAAAATGAGCAAATAAGAACCTGAGGACCATAAATATCGAAGAAATTTGGTGGTTTTTCATTGTCAGTGTCGTTTGAGGTATCAGCCTCCAAAGCCAAAGTCTCTGGCTTGTGTTTCGGCGGAGGCATTTGTCTCTCTCTCTCTTCGCCTGAGAAGAAGCACAAGAAGAAAAAGACTATACTTTAAAAAAAAAAAAAAAAAAAAAAAAAAAAAAAAAAAAAAAACCACTGCC